TCTTTGATTGTAGGTGAACTATACATCCCAGTAACTACAACTCGCATATGTCAAGGTCTATTTTTCCCCAAGAGCGCCTCAAGGGCCCCTGGGCAAAATCAACTATACTGCAAATGCTTACTTTGCGTTATGGGTTGAGGCGCCCCTGCTCCTGCCAACCTAGCAGTTCAAAAGCATGCAAATGTGATTAGATCATACATGGTTGGTGGGGACGACGGAGAGGGCCTTCTCAGTGGTGGCCCCCTGGCTCTGGAACTCCCTCCCTTTGTCCTCCTTTTGGTCACAACTAAAAACCTGGATGATCCAGTGTGCTTTTGATTAAGCAGTCCACCAGTAATTTTTCCTCATCCCTACCTTGTTTCAGTACTTTATGCCGGCCCCTTTAGTGCCCACCTCAACACTTTTGATTCATGGAGCTTGAACCACAGCTATGTTCTTTCTCAGCCATATTATTTTGTTGTTGTTTACAATTGTGATTGTTTTTATATTTTATCCGATGTTTTTAATTTGATTGTGTTTTATCTGTAATTGTTGGGCTTGTCCTTTGTAAGCCGCCCTGAGTCCCCTTGGGGAGATGGTTGGCGGGGTATAAAAATAAAGTTATTATTATTATTATTATTATTATTATTATTATTATTATTATTAGATCGATAGGTACCGCTTTGGCAGGAAAAGGGGAAAAGATGTTCCACGCAGTAATGCCGGCAACACAACCAGCAGGATCTATGGACAATGGAGGCTCCTTGGCTTAGAAATGGAGAAGAGCACCTTCCCCAGAGTCAGAGATGAGTACCACCTTCAGAGCCAGAAATGAAAGGAGAAGCCTTTGCCTTTGTCTGTGTATTTGTATCTCATTATATTTCATTGTAACAAGGCATTGAATGTTTGCCTGTGTCTGTTTCTGTGCTGTAATTCGCTCTGGGTCCCCTTGGGGAGAAGGACGGAATATAAATAAAATGTTATTATTATTATTATTATTATTATTATTATTATTATTATTGACACAAAAGCACAGTATGTCACAGCAAACGAGATCTATATGCTGGATTTCATATCACAAAATCACAAGTCAAACACTTCCCAAGCGTCTAGGACTGTGTGATTTTCAGATGATGCGCGCAGATCCAAGTAAGGTGGCCTTTTGCAGTTGACAGATTGTGATTTTGTTGATGTTTATTGTTTCCAAATGCTGGCTGAGATCTTTTGGCACGGCACCCAGTGCGCCAATGACCACTGGGACCACTTGTATTGGTTTAGGCCAGAGCCTTTGCAGTTCAATTTTGAGGTCTTGATAGCGGCTGAGTTTTTCCTGTTGTTTTTCCTCAATACGACCGTAATAATAATAATAATAATAATAATAATAATAATAATAATAATAATAATAATTGTTGTTGTTATTGTTGTTGTTGTTGTTATTATTATTATTATTATTATTATTATTATTATTATTATTATTATTATTTGGAGACGGGACCCAAATCTAAACAGACAATTCATTTATGTTTGCTATACACTTTAAAAACATAACCTGAAGGTAATTTTTTATTCTGTGTATGAAACAAAGTTTGCATACACTACACCATCAGAAAGCAAAGATGTCAAAGTGTCACAGTCTCAGACACCCCTGTGGACACTTTTTGGATTTTTTTAGTATTTCAGATTTTGAAATACATGGTGCACAACCTGTACAATAATTGTTCATTGATTGAATGTATTTCCACAGTTTCAGCACCTTGGTTAGCTCCTTTAAAACTCTGGACTAAACCTAAAGTGAATTCCCTGTCTCACTTAAATCAGAGCTACCAGCTATCCCTGTCACATTCTAACACCTTTACTAATTCTCTTTGATATGAAGTTGGGTATCTTACCAACTTGTATTCGATTTTCATGTTAATTTATTGATGTAGTACAGTCATTGGGGGAAAATATGTCTTATTGCTTTTATACTGAAAACATCCATGGGAAACAGCGGAGAATTAGGTAGCCTTTCACATATTATCCTGGAAGCAAGATTGCCAGTGAAGGGCCAAATTGCTATGAAGGCATCTCCCCATATGGTCAATTGCACATTTACTTTACTTTGTGTTACTGAAAGAGAAGAAACAATTTGGCAGAAATTTAAAGACTGGACCTAAGAAGGGTTTTGGAGAAAGAAGTAGAGTTCAGAGCTATGTGGAGCCGACCAAACCTTTATAGAGAAGGGAGCATGTTTTAATATCTCATAGAATCATAGAGTTAGAAGAGACCACAAGGGTCATCCAGTCCAACTCCCTGCCATGCAGGAACACACAATCGAAACACCCCCAACAGACGACCATCCATAAGAATGTGGACAATTTCAACAGAAAGGAGGAAATCATGAAAATGAACAAAATCTGGCTACCAGTATTTTAAAAAATCTAAAATTATAACTGCAAAACAACACCCAAACACAGAAAAACTCCGGAAAGGAAACAATCAGGGACAGCTAATCACCTCTCAACAAAAGATTCCCCCAGGCACTAACAAGCCACATGAAAAAACTGCCAGGCCATCAAATGCTAATCAAAATGGCCAGTTGAAACATTGACACCTAGCTCCATCAGACAAGAGTTGTTTCTTCTTTGTCCCACCCTAGACATTCCACAGACATATAAACCCATTTTTCCTAGTTTCCAACAGACTTCACAGCCTCTAAGGATGCCTGCCATAGATGCAGGCGAAACGTCAGGAAAGAATGCCTCTAGAACATGGCCATACAGCCTGAAAAAGCCTACAACAACCCATCCAGTCTCTGTTTAAAAACCTTCAAAGGAGACTTCACCACCCAGCGAGGCAGCCTTTTTTACTTGCAAACAGCTCTTACCATCAGGAAATTCTTTCGAATGCTTAGGCAGAATCTTTTCCTCTGCAATTTGAATCCATTGCCCTAGAGTAGCAGTAAAAAAGCTTGATCCCTCCTCAATGTGACATCCTTTCACATATTTAAACATGGCTATCATGTCCCCTCAGCCTTCTTTCATCCAGACTAAACATACGTACTTAACTCCAGGCCCTTCCGCACAGCCATATAACCCAGACTATCAAAGCATAAAATCCCACAATATCTGCTTTGAACTGGGTTATCTGAGTCCACACTGCCATATATTCCAGTTCCAAAGCAGAAAATGTGGCATTTTATTCAGCTGTGTGGATGGGGCCTCGCTCAGCCATTCCTCATAGGGCTTGGTTTCCAAACCTTTGATCATTTTGGCTGCCCTCCTCTGGACTTGTTCCAGTTTGTCAATATCATACTTGAATTATGGTGCTCAAAACTGGACACAGGGTTCCAGGTGAGGTCTGGCCAAAGCAGAATAGAGTGGGACTGTGACTTCCCTCGATCTACATGCTATCCTCTTATTGATGAAGCCTGGAATCGCATGGGCTTCATCACACTATTGACTCATGTTCAGCTTGTTCTACTGAGACTGTTAAATCCCTTTCTCGTGGACTCTTTTCAAGTCAAGTGTTGCCCATCCTATATCTGTATGTTTCATTTTTAATGTCAAAGTCTGCTTCCAACTCCCTGATGGAAATCATTTTGATAGTTTTGTCCCAGCTCTCTAATCTCATAAGGCAGCGTTTCTCAATCTGGGGGTCGGGACACCTGGGGGGATCACAAGGGGATGTCAGAGGGGTCACCAAGACCATCAGAAAGCACATTGTTTTCTGTATTGTCGAAGGCTTTCGTGGCTGGGTTGTTGTAGGTTTTTTCGGGCTATATGGCCATGTTCTAGAGGCATTACTCCTGGCGTTTCATTTCTCCTGGCCATGTTCTAGAGGCATTTCTCAGATGCAGGCGAAACGTCAGGAGAAATGCCTCTAGAACATGGCCATATAGCCTGAAAAAACCTACAACAACCGACATTATTTTCTGTTGGTCATGGGGGTTCTGTATGGGAAATTCTATCATTGGTGGGGTTCAGAATGCTCTTTGATTGTAGGTGAACTATAAATCCCAGCAACTACAACTCCCGAATGTCAAGGTATATTTTCCCCAAGCTGCACCAGTGTTCACATTTTGGTCTATTGCATATTTGTGCCAAGTTTGGTCCAGATCCATCATTATTTGAGTCCACAATGCTCTCTGGATGTAGGTGAACTACAACTCACAAACTCAAAGTCAATGCCCACCAAACCCTTCCAGTATTTTCTGTTGGTCTTGGGAGTTCTGTGTGCCAAGTGTGATTCAATTCCATCATTGGTGGAGTTCAGAATGCTCTTTGATTGTAGGTAAACTATAAATCCCAGCAACTACAGTATTCAAATTTGGGTGTACTGGGTATTTGTATCCAGTGAATGAAAATACATCCTGCATATCAGATATTTACATTATGATTCATAACAGTCACAAAATTACAGTTATGAAGTAGCAAAACAAATAATTTTATGGTTGGGGGTCACCACAAGATGACGAACTGTATTAAGGGGTAGCAGCATTAGAAAGGTTGAGAACCACTGTCTTACGGTCAGTTTGGAGTCTGATCTTGTCCTCTGGGCTATTATCTATCCTTCCCAATTTGGTGTTGTCTGCAAACATAAAATGCATGTTTTCTGTTCTAACATCTAAGTCATGGATGACAATTGGGTCCAGAACAGAACTTCCTGCTGTGGCACCCCACTCAAGGACAAAGAGAAGTTATTTACTTGTCAGCACCCTAGGCTAGTCAACTATTTCCTGCCTAGCAATAGCATTGCCCAACCCATATTTTGTTAGCTTCTTTGTGAGAATGTCATGGGGAACTTGGTCAAAGGCCTTCCTGAAATGGAGAGCCAATCTTAATGAACCAACTGAAAGGCCTAGAAAAACAGGCCAAGAGAAACCAAGAAACAATGTTTGAGGGAGTAGAGTAACTTTGCTGAAGGTTAAGAAGTGAGTACCATGGTCAAAGAGGAGGGATGGTTTTGGGGTGCAGGGAGAAGGGGGGTCCGTGAAGCCCTGTCCCTTCCCCCCCCCCTTCCTTCCCTCCTTCAAGGCTCACCCGCTTGTTGCGGTCGGTCTCCTTGACGTGTTCCTCATCGGGCCCCTGTCGGATGAGGGTCTTGAGGGCAGCAGCATTGTTGGTGCAGCAGGCGCGGAAAAAGGAGGGCGGTGGCTCGGAGCTGGGTGACCCTTCTGACTCCCCCAGTGACCAGACTTCCTCCCTATCCTCCGGCTCATCTTCCTCCCCGTCCCGCGGTGGGTAAAAGGAGTCCTCTGAGGCCAGGCTCCGTGTCTCTGACATATCCGAGAAGTCCGCCAAGTCTTCATATTCCTCCTCATAGTCCTCCTCCTCCTCGTCGGGTGCCCCCTCCCCTCGTGGGGCAGAAATAACAACAACAGCATGACCTGCTCCGAGGGGTTCCACTTGGGCCTCGGACCCCGAAGGCCCCCCGTGGACAAAAGGCGGGGGCTGGAGGTGCTTCGTGGAGGGGCTCCGTCCTTCCCCGACCACTTTCCCATCCCCAGAGAGGAGCACCATCTCCACTTTGCCTCCCCAGTGCCAGAATTTGGACAAATCAGGCCCTGTGCTAGTTAAGTTATGAGGCCCCTTCCTTGGGCCTTGAAGCTCGGCCTAGTTGGCCTACACTGCCTGCTTTGTGGCACACTCCCACAGACTATTGACTCTATCATTATGTCTGGAATCAGAAACAGAACACCTTCAAATTTAGAATTGCACCACATAAACAAAATCCATCATCGGCCAACAGGGCCCTGTGCTTAAGCACACCTAAGCACAATGGTAAATCCAGCACTACCTCTACCAAAGGGGCTGCTTTTCCTGCCCAAAGTGAGGGGAAGCTGTTAACTCAAGGGGAAAAGAACCTCCCATTCAGCACTGACTATGCCAAAGGGGCTTCTTTTCCTGTCCAAAGTGGGGGAAAGCTGTTAACTCAAGGGGTAAAAGAACTTCCCATCCACCACTGACTATACCGAAGGGGTTTCTTTTCCTGCTCAAAGTGAGGGGAAGCTGTTAAGGGGCAATAGAGCCTCCCATCCAGCTCTGACTATACCAAAGGGACTGCTTTTGCTGCCCACAGTGAGGGGAAATTGTTAACTCAAGGGGCAAAAGAGCCTCCCATCAGGCACTGACTATGCCAAAGGGCTTGCTTTTCCTGCCCAAAGTGAGGGGAAACTGTTAAGGGACAAAAGAGCCTCCCATCTAGCATTGACTATACCAAAGGGACTACTTTTTCTGCCCAAAATGAGGGGAAGCTGTTAACTCAAGGGGCAAAAGAGCCTCCCATCAGGAACTGACTATGCCAAAGATGACTGCTTTCCCTGTCCAAAGGGAGGGGAAACTGTTAACTCAAGGGGCAAAAGATCCTCCTATGTGGCACTGTCTTTATTGAAAGGGCTGCTTTTACTGGCCAAAGTGAGGGGAAGTTATTAACTCAAGGGGCAAAAGAGCCTCCCATCCAGTATTGACTATACCAAAGGGACCACTTTTCCTGCTCAAAGTGAAGGGAAACTGTTAACTCAAGGGGCAAAAGAGCCTCCTACATGGCACTGTCTTTATTGAAGGGACTGCTTTTTCTGTCCAAAGTGAGGGGAAGCTGTTAACTCAAGGGGCAAAAAGGGCCTCCCATTCAGAAAGGAACAGAAGACTTTCAGAGAGAGATAAAAGCAGGGAAAAGAAGGAGAAAATTGTGGCTGAATCCCAGTCTGGCTTGAACCTTCAAGGCAAAGGGCACCAGCTTGCTTCCTCAGCCCATAAATCTCAAACTAGAGCCATGAAGGCAGGGAAAAAGAGGCCTCCCTTTTCAGAAGGGTCCCTGAACCCTCATCCAAACTCGATTTGGAGGACTTTAGAGGGGGGAAAGGGGGAGAGGATACCTTTAAAAGCACTTCAACTCCCAACTTGAGGACCTTGACAGGAGCTAGTGGAGGGGAAAAGAAGCAGGAGACATTACAAACCACTTTCCTCCAAGGACAAAGCAGAAAAAGTCCAGCAGAAAGTTGGAGAAAGCAACTTCTTCCTTGTGTTGAGGCTCACAACAGGGACAGGATACAGTGGTTCGCAGAAATAGCCAGGACTCCTCAAATCATAGAATCCTAGAGTTGGAAGAGACCTCATGGGTCATCCAGTTCAACCCCCTGCCAAGAAGCAGGAAAATTGTATTCAAAGCATCCCCAACAGATGGCCATCCAGGCTGTTTAAAAGCTTCCGAAGAAGGAGCCTCCACCACACTTAAGAGCAGGGAGTTCCACTGCTGAACAGCTCTCACAGTCAGGAATGATCGGATGGAATCTCCTTTCTTGTAGATCTCTAGACATCCAAATGCACCTGACTGGCAATAGCTGCTTCCAAGAGGTCGAAATCTTCGGAGGAGGAAAGGAATCTGAGCGAGGCGACTCCAAGGCTTCCCGGCAGACGAGGCGTTGCTTTCATCCCATCGATGGGAAGAAGAAGTTCAGGGAAAGAGAGGGGAAGGTTCCCTCGCCGCGTTTGCCTTGGAAGGAGCCCGATCGTGGGTTTTTCCCCCAGCTAAAGCGGTTCAGCAAGGGAGAAAGGGAGGGAGGGAGCAGAAGGACGGCTTAAAGCCCCGATACAGCTTCGAGGAAAGGCGTCCAAGCGTCCGCCCCGTCCTCAGGACTCCTAATCCGATCAAGCACAAGATTGAGCCTGTTGACATTCGCAGAAGGGATGGGCTTTCCAGGCGAGAGCGGAGGAAGGGGAGAATGAGCCTTTGGAGCCATCCCTCGGGGCGCTTTCGGCTCTCACTCTCTCTCCCTCTCTCTCTCTCATTCTCCCTTCGGGGCTTTCCGCCTCTCATTGTTTCCATTCGGCTTCTTATCAAACGCTTTCCCATTCTTTCTGCGCCGACAATATGAAAAGCCACGGGGAAGGAAGCTTCGGAGAAACTTCCCAGGAATCCAGTTTGGGAAGCATCGCATTGCCAGAAGGACTTGCAGGATATATCAGCACTGTGTGCACAGGTTGAGTATCTCTTCCTCAGAAACGCTTGGGGCTAGCACTGCTTTGGATTTAGGATTGCGAAAGACCCCTATTTATTTCGATGCCAGCTTGACCAGGGCGGGTCAGCGCTGCTTGTGCTATTGGATCTCACAGCAGCATTTGACACAGTCGACCACAATCTCTTGACCCACCGCCTTGCTGTTGCTGGAATCAGGGGGACAGCTTTAAACTGGCTGTCCTCCTTTCTTCACAACCGTGGACAGCGAGTGGAGAGGGGAGGCCTGGTCTCTGAGAGGTCCCCTCTATCTTGTGGGGTTCCTCAGGGGGCCATTCTCTCCCCTCTGTTGTTTAACATCTATATACGACCACTTGCTCAGCTGGTTCGAGGTTTTGGGCTTGAGTGTTATCAGTATGCCGATGACACTCAGCTGGTGCTGAAGATGGAAGGCCGACCGGACTCTGTACCCGATTGTTTCCATCAGTGCCTCGAGGCTGTTACTGGATGGCTGCGTGCCAGCAGGTTGAGGGTGAATCCAGCAAAGACGGAGATCCTATGGCTGGGTGGACCGGGCAGTGGGGACATCCATCTGCCCACCCTGGATGGCGAGGCGTTACGCCCGTCATCATTGGTAAAGAGTCTGGGAGTCCTTTTGGACCCTCTGCTGACAATGGAGGCCCAGGTCTCCGCCGTGAGCAGAACCGCCTTCTTTCATCTGCGGCAGGCTAGACGGCTGGCCCCCTACCTGTCCAGGGACGACCTAGCTACGGTGATCCAGACCACGGTCATCTCAAGACTGGACTACTGCAACGCCCTCTACATTGGCCTCCCTCTATCGGTGATTCGGAAGCTCAAGTTGGTACAAAATGCAGCGGCTCGGCTTCTTGCGGGAATTCCGATGAGATGCCACACAACACCAATCTTACTACAGCTGCATTGGTTACCAATTGAGCACTGGATCACTTTCAAAGTGATGGTACTCACCTTTAAGGCCTTGCATGGTCTGGGGCCAATGTATCTGAGGGATCGTCTCACCCCCCTACCAACCCCAGAGATCCCTCCGTTCTGAGGACCAAGATCTATTGGAAGTCCCCAGTGTCAAGACCTTGCGTCTAACGGCAACCAGACGCAGAGCCTTCACAGCAGTGGCGCCATCAGTCTGGAATGCTCTGCCACCTGAAGTTCGTGCCCTGCGGGACTTACCAGCTTTCCGCAGGGCATGTAAGACATACCTGTTCCGACAGGCTTTTAATGTTTGATACTGTTGTTTTTAAATTGTTTTAAATTGCTTTTAAACTTTGTTAGATTTTAGCTATTCTTGTAAGCCGCTCCGAGCCCCAGGGGAGTGGCGGCATATAAGTTTAAATAATAAATAAATAAATGTTTGTTTGTTTGTTTGTTTACAGTATTTATATTCCACCCTTCTCACCCCACAGGGGACTCAGGGCGGATTACAATGTACATATACAATTCAGAAAAACATCTATTTCTTTTTATTGACTACTCTAAAGCCTTTGACTGTGTGGATCATAATAAATTGTGGCAAGTTCTTGGTGGCATGAGCAATTAAAACTTGTGTGCCAGCTGCGCCCATACTTGGGAAGTCTGACTTGGCCACGGTGGTCCATGCTCTGGTTACATCCCGCATAGACTACTGTAACGCTCTCTACGTGGGATTGCCTCTGAATACTGCCTGGAAGCTGCAATTAGTCCAACGAGCAGCAGCCAGATTACTAACAGGAGCGGGGTACAGGGAGCATACTGTTGCATCCCAGTTCAAGAAACAAGACCATAAGATTAAATCCACCACTCTGGACTGTAGGAAAAGCAATCCTTGTTTATTGATGAAAAATTGGTTACAAAAGAAAGGTAAATGCAGAGTAAAAAAGCCACAGAAAAACACAGTAGTCAATAGGATCTCTGAACTTGAGCAAAACTTCAAAAGCCACAAAACAATAACCAGGAGTCTATTAGCCTTTTACTAACCATGAACTTGGAAACTACAAGGCTCTGGGATTACTGGCCATGGAACACAGGAATTCTGCCAAGACCAGCCACAGTCCCGAACGTTGCTTGACCTAAAGAAGCACCCGGCAGGGATGCTCTTAAACCAAAGAAGCTATTCTTAGAAACGCCCCTTGACTTTTCTGTTTGGGACTCTTTCTGCTGAAGACGCTGTGACCTTCGTACAGACTGGGAAACAAATCTATCTCTCACTATCTGTTCTCTTCGGACCTCATTATCAAGCCCAGGTGGGGAGATATCACGGCTAACTTCCAAAACATTCTCTTCTAACTGTTGGGTTTCGTTTTCATTCCCACTGACCTCTGCATCAACAACAGATTCCACACTGTCAGAGTCAGGGAGAGCTTGCTCAGTTTGAAAAACTATCAGAGAATCCTGTTCACACAGATCAGGATCAGACTGAACCCCAACAATACTATTCCTCTGTTGCGCCAGCTCCACTGGCTGCCAATTAGCTTCCAAGCACAATTCAAAGTGCTGGGGTTGACCTATAAATCGCTAAATGACTCCGGCCCAGTTTACCTGTCCGAACGGATTCTCCCCTATGAACCATCAAGGTTGTTAAGATCTTCTGGAGGGGCCCTGCTCTCGGTCCCACCACCTTCGCAATCGCATCTGGTGGGGACGAGGGACAGGGCCTTCTCGGTGGTGGCCCCTCGGCTCTGGAACTCTCTCCCACTGGAGATTAGAACTGCCCCTTCTCTCCTGACTTTTAGAAAGCTGGTGAAATCTTGGCTTTGGAATATAGCATTTGATGAGTGAGTCAATAACTCTTGACCACACGGACGGATGGTGATGAATTGTGAATTGTGATTCCATTCTGACGACTTGACCTTATGTAATTATATGTTTGTATTTTAATGTATTTTATGGATTAGTGTATTATGAGATGTGATGTTTTTATACTATTGTTATGAATCTTATGTTGTGAACCGGCCTGAGTCCGTCTTCGGAGGTCGAGAAGACTGGGTTATAAAAGCTCTAAATAAATAAATACCAAATCACCGTGTCTCTCTCCTGAGGAATCCGTATAAGGATCAAGTAGCAACAGGAAGAACTGACCATGGAACAACAGACTGGTTCAAGATTGGGAAAGGCGTACGGCAGGGTTGGATACTCTCACCCAACCTGTTCAACTTGTATGCAGAACACATC